GTTTGGAATTATGAAGAAATGCCAGGTCTATCTAGAGATCTAGTGGAACATCGGCTAGCTACCTATTAAAGATGGATTCAAACCATACAAATAGCCGCCTCGCCGAATGTCTTAAGAAGTGGTGGATAAAGTTAAGACAGAGATTGAAAGATTATTAGGTGCTGGTTTTATTCAAACTATATGTTATGTTCAGTTATTATCAAATGTAGTTCCTGTTATTAAGAAAATGGAAAGTTACGCATATGTGTGGATTTTTCAAATTTAAGTACGGCTACTCCAAAAGATGAATATCCTATGCCAATAGTCGATCAATTGATTGATGCAGCTACTAAACATGAGATTATGTCTTTTATGGATGGACACTCAAGGTATAATCGGATTTATATTGATGAGGAAGATATCCAAAAGATAGCTTTCAGATGTCCAGGATCGATTGGGACTTTTGAGTGGGTGGTAATGCCTTTTGGGTTGAAGAATGCTGGTGTTATATATCAGCAAGCCATAAATTTTATTTTTCATGACATGCTCGGCAAATTCATGGAAGTATACATCGATGATGTGGTTGTGAAATATTTTGCAAAGATGCAGCACTTGGTACATCTTAAGGCATCTTTCGAGAGAATGAGGACTCATAAGTTAAAACTGAATCCTATCAAGTGTGCTTTTTGTGTATTGGCAGGAAATTTTCTTGGTTTCTTGGTACACCAAAGGGGCATTGAGATTGATAAGAATAAAGCCAAGGTTGGGAAGAAAAGGGAAGTTGTTACCTCGTTTTGTGGGTCCTTTTATGATTACAGATCGAATTGGGGCAGTAGCTTATAAATTGGCGCTACCGGATCATTTACATCATATGTATAATATGTTTCATGTATCTATGTTGCGAAAATTTTTGCGAGATGAGGATCGTTATCAACATATAGATGTTGGTGAGATAGAGTTACAGCCAGATGTAACATATGTAGAACAACCTTATTTTGTGCTTGATCGTATGAATCAAGTACTACGCTAGAAAATCATTCCTCTTGTGCGTGTCCAGTGGAGCCATCATAATGAGGTGGATTTTACTTGGGAACAGGAAGATGAAATCCGTGTCAAGTATTCAAAGCTTTTTTTTTTTTTTTTTTTTTTTTTTTTTTTTTTTTTTTTCGAGTTGGGTACTCACACACACTGCCTTCATTGAGGTTCGAACCCCTGATCTCCCTTTCGGAAGTAGGGACCTTATACTGCTAGGCCACAGGTCTATTAGTAGTATTCAGAGCTTTTCATTTCAGGTATGTGGTGAATTTCGAGGACATAATTCCTTTGTTAGGGGGAATAATGCAATACCCCGTGATTTTTAAGGAGTTTTAAATTTATTTTATTTTATTTAATTGGTTAAATTTATTATTGGCTTAATTATTTAGGTGCATTTAATTATTGATGTTGTTGAATTGTTTATGTGGATTAATTATTTTATTATTTGTTTTATTAGTGTTTTATTATTATTTGTTTTATTAGTGTAATTAATAATTGGCAATGGGTTGTGTTCGTATCATTGGACCATAGGACTTGAGTTTAGCATATTTGGAGGGCATTGTTGGGTTGTATTAGAATTAAAGCCCATGTAGTATATTATATGTAAGCTATGTAATGTATTATATGTAAGCTATGTAAGCCCACATAGTATATTATATATATTTTAATTTTATTTTATTATATGATTATTATTAGGGACTTTATAGATATATATATTTGGTATCATTATTATTATTAGGGTTAGTATCATAAGTAGAATCAAAAGGCAAAGAGAGAGAAGGCATAACAATCAACCTAAGGTTACCGGAATTGGGAAAGAAAGATTCAGGAGGCTTGCAACGTCGTTTTCGTTACTTAAACTTAAGGAAAGTCACTACTCTACTCCTCCCATTTGAATTTATAAACTTTCCACCTTGAATACCGAAATTTTAGGGTTAATAATTGGAGATTGATTATGGTTAGATTTAGGGGTAAAATCATGTTATTGTTGTTGAATAATTCATTATTAGAATTGAGAATAAAGTATGGAATTAAATCTATATGTTTATGTGTAAACTGAACTTGTTTCTGTATATATATATATATGTGTGTGTATATATAATCTCGTATTTGTATATATGTGTGTGTGTGTGTGTGTGTGTGTGTGTGTGTGTGTGATTTCATGTCTATTTGTGTATATATGTTTCTTAACGCTTTGATTTTGAACTATAGGTTGTTTGAATCATTTGATTTGCTTGTTTAATCTCATTAACATGTTTTAGGAACGTCAGAGAGGCTACTGGAATTTAGTATAAAACATTGGAACTCAAAACCATGGAAAACAAGTCTAAATCGCGAAGTTGCGTAGCAGATCTCGCGTTCAGGATTGACACAACTGATCACGTGGAGGGCGCGATCGATCTCGTCATCAGCGCGATCAGTTAAGCTCTTATTGCGATTGATCAGGCCGAGACTATGTAATTTTGAAATTTTAGGAAAAATTCTAAATATGGGAATGCGAACGATTGCACCTAGCGCAACCAATCGAGCCGCGGTCGATGGTGTTCCAGCGCGAACAGTCGCGCTGGGTATTTTCTTGCGCTGAACGTTTAATCGTGATGCAGGACGTGTACGCATATGATAACCTGTGTTGCTGGAATTAACAAAGGAGAAAGATGAATTAAATCCTTGTATATGTGCTTTGTTAATTTATATTAATCTTATTAGAATTGTATAGTGCATTATGACAAATGATATTAATCATAAATTCCTTTTAATGTTGGATGATATTAATCATGTGTATGCTTGACAAAGTTTAATGATAATTATCATTTTGAGAGTTGTATTGAGTGTGGAACCATTGTGGGTTGACTAAGAAAGGCAGTCACACCTATACCCTGGATTCGTTGCTGTCAGGGTATGTGGTTTATTATTCAGAGACGTGTTGCCTAGTGATATGCTTTGTGTATAGGTGCTGATTCCTGAGCATGATAGAGGGCCTATGCACTTTGTGCGTATCTAGTTGATTTCTCTCGGTTACGGTTGAGTTCACTATACAGTGTATGCATTGGTTATATAGTATGTATGGTTATTTGTTGATGGGATAGTTTTGGTTAGATATGACTAGTTTATCGGTTCTCTGTTGGGATGTAGTAAAGAAGACTTGTTTATGGGTTTAACCCACATTTTCTTGATATTTCAAGTCCTTGTCAGATTCAGCCATAGAGTGGAGTTCGTAGCAGGTCATAGACATCTTTCATTACTCTTCTAGTCATTTCAGAGTAGGACATTGATTTATTTATTTATTCTTTAGACTTCGAGATTATTTATTTCTCAATATTAGATATTTGAGATTTTTATTAGAGGTCCTTGATTTACAGGATTCCTGAATTGTATTTTGGAGTTTGGAGATTTATTAAGTATTCATGGACGGATTATTCATTTATTAGATTTTCTTTTCTGCATATTATTTATTTCTTATTTATCCTCTTGTATTCCGTGCTTATTTATTTACCTAATTATTTTGATATTCCCTAATCTTTGAGTGTGGACCTGATCAACCCACGCTTGAAAATTGGGACAATCAAATGATGCATCTCGGATATAAGAGAGTTATTTCCCTTGCTTGATTAATGATTACTTTGATTTAATCCAAAGTTCCGTATACTTTGGGTAGTCACAAAAACATTGACTTTGGAACAAGCTCTCTAGATTGCAAGCTATGTTTATATTTATTTTTACAATAATTAGTTTAATCATGATAAATCATGGGATTAAACAAAAAAAATTAAGCAGTAAAAATAAAGGTATTAAGTATGCATTTGAAATAAAGACAATTTATATAATCTTGGGTTGTTATGTAATTAACATGACATTTTTAACATTTCTTTAATTGGAGTTCAATTATTATTATATAGTGGTATTAATTTTGATTAATGGGTTGATGCAATTTTGGGTTATGAGATGACTAGGCCAATTGGTCAAGCCCATTGGCGCCAAGAGAGATTGGACTCGCTTAAATCCTCACATCTAGCCCACTATATTGGAGACTTGATTTACCTGGAGTCATGGAAGGATGATTTGGGAATTTAGCTTCATACATGATTCAAGGTGAATAGATGGTGTCCAGTAAATTATTAAGAGCACCTGTGACTAGGATGAGATTGCACGAGAGATGGTGGTTGATGGAACACCTTAAGGCTCAAAAATTTCAAGAACTGGAAAAAAAAAAAAAAAAAAAAAAGAAAAAAAAAAAGAAGATTTGTGGTTAGTTAATTAACCCCTTTTGCACTTTGTATTTTTTGTGAAGTAATAGAGAGGGTTTACTCTTGATAGAGAAAATATAGAAAAAAAATAGAATTCGTGATTCTAAGGGGAGGAATCAAGAGAACCAAGGGAACAGAAACCCTTATATGAGGCAAAGGATAGATTCCCAACAACAACTAGGTAATCGTCAGCGTGGATCACATAATAACATTGGTGGATCACATAATGACATTGAAATAGGATTTCAATATGTCTTCGTACTCACAATTTTCAAAACGTATTTACGTACACTTCTCCCGAGAGATGTAAAACATGATGAGAAAACTTGATGATTTAAACTTCTAGATATGGACAGAATTCGAATTAAGCATGGAAGACAAGATGAGCCCACTACATAAAAGAGAGCATATCACATATATAGATAAAAAAATATGAAATGACAAATTCTTGCTTGTGGATCCAGCCATGAAAATAAATTATGAATGGCGGATATGGTGAAGCAAACAAATCTATGATCTGATTCCCTGAAATGGACTTGCTTTACCCCTTCTCTTTTATTTATTTATCATTGCTTTTATGACCTTTTTATTTATCAAATATGCTTAAAATGAATGTGAAACCAACATCCAAATCAAGTGGTATCTATCACTTACCGTCCATTGTACACATTTTTGAGCATCTAATTCTTCACACTTTATAAAGGTAGAATAAAGACTTAAAGAGCAAAGAAGGTATGTTGAGCGAATTGAACTAACGGATTACAATGGTTCATCCTGAAATTCTGCATTAAACAGGCAAAGTTCAGCTTTTCTTTGAAATGATGAAGGACAATGAAAAACAAAAGACGACAAGACTACATAAACCTGAAAGACATTGTCAATGGTTATATTCATCTCTGTCAATGGGAAGCACAAAATTCACATGCACTGAGTGCCTGAGACAGATAGTTGTGACACCGCAGGCAACATGGGTTCGCTGTGACTGCAAAGCCGTGTTTACAATTGGTTCGAATGGGCAGCTATGCCAACTCCATAATGGCGATTATCCGGTAGGAAGCCTCGCCATGCAACTGAAATTGAATAGTTTCAGTCAGGCACATCCAAGAAGGAGAGCACTTCTTTGCGGAGTGAGCTACAATAACCGGAAAATCAAGCTCAAGGGGACGATGAATGATGTGGGACGAATGCGGTCTCTTCTTGTGGATCAATTCAATTTTCCAAGTGATTCCATTTTTGTGCTTGCAGGTATTTATGACCATACAAATCTGCTCTAGCTCACACTCTACTTCTAAATCATCTACTGTAATTTAATTTCTAACTTTACATCATCAAAGTAAGCACATGATCACATCAACTTGTGCAAATGGGCTCGAAAGAGGGGAGTTGGGTTCTTTAGCTTTCGGCATAATGGGCCCCTCATAATTGGGTTGATGTTCCTAGACCATGAGGGGTCCTTGCGACATGGAAAGTTCTATGGTGAGCCTGAGATGTTGATCATCTAAGTCGTTTTAGATGGGGTGGGACTTGGGCGGGTTGGATAGCGGGTTAATTCCCGTTAGACCCAATATTTTAGTAATTTAACTTGTGTCAAGTCCAAGTCTCGAAAAATTCATTGCTATCTCTAATCACATCATATTGCATGGATTTCTTGGGTCTTTTGAATTTCTTCTAAACCATTCAAAATTTAGTACTATTAATAAATAAATATGACAAAAAATAAAATGTTAAATATATAACTACATACATGTGACAGGTCAAAGTTAGAGTAATGCCTATGATACGTACTATAAATCATATAATTTAACTTTATTTTACTTAAACATATAGCCTTAAAATATAAAAATTTAAAACTTTTCCTTAATTTCGGATTTCTTGGGTTGCTCGGATTAATTAAATATTTGTTTAAATTCCGCTCAAAATAAATTCAGGCTTCAAACTTTAAAATTAAGTCTCAACCCCAAGTTCGCAAGCACCTTGTTTATGCTCAAAAAATTTCTAGGCCCGAGTTGTTCAGGTTTGGCCCACCCAAGTCCTTTAATTTTAGATTTCTTGGTTGCTCGGATTAATAAAATATTTGTTTGAATTCCGCTCAAAATAACTTCAGGCTTCAAACTTTAAATTAAGTCTCGACCCCATGTTCTCAAGTACTTTGTTTGCTCTCACAAATTTTCTAGGCCCAAGTTGTTCAGGTTTGGCCCACCGAAGTCCTACCCCCAACATAATAGCATAGCATGCCGAATGGAACCAACAGGGCTTTTAGATTAGATCTAGGTTACACAGAGTGGGGGAGAGAGAGAGAGAGGGGGCGCCAAAGTGGGGACAGCAGTACGAAAATGACAAAAATTAAATTATACACAGTAAACACAAGAACGAAAGTACACGCCGAGCATGAGATCGACATCGGTTATAAAAAATTATGTGACTTAATATCAGATAATTATATATATATATATAATTTTTGCAACCCAAATACATTTGGTCAAAAGAAGGGGTGACAAAATTGGATCAGCATAGAATGATAATGAAATATAATGACAATTCTGCCTACCAATATATCAATATCCTGAGTGACACTTGTTACTGTCTGACAGTAACCAAGTCAGATTATATAAATTTAGAGTACCATTGGTACTTGTTAAAATCAATGATTGATTCCAGAATATCTTTGACTTCTATTTATAACTCATCAAACCAGAAACTAAAAAAGTACTTAATTTATATAATATACCTTTAATTAGTTTCTTGTTGTGACAATCAAAATAAAATTGCAGAGGATCTGAACTTTCCGAATCGCATTCCAACCAAGCAGAACGTGCAAAAGGGCTTGAAATGGCTTGTGGAGGACTGCCAGTCAGGCGACTCACTGGTCTTCTACTTCTCCGGACATGGCCTACGACAACCTGATTTCGATGGAGATGAGGTTGATGGATTCGACGAAACTCTCTGTCCTGTTGATTTTAAGACTGCCGGAATGATCCTCGACAATGAAATCAATAACACCATTGTTAAGCCTCTGAAGGAAGGTGTCACACTTCACGCCATCATCGATACTTGCCATAGCGGAACCATTCTTGATCTAGAGCATGTATACGACAGAAAGAAGTAAGTGCGTCCATCAAATTTTGAATCACATGCATTTTGTGTCATTTTATCCAACTTAGAATTAAATTAGTCCCTGTAATAAAATTAGCCCACCAAGCAATATGACAGGTCTACATGAGTTATGAACTACTTGGATTCACATATGCAAAAAATAATAATAATAATAATAAAATAAAAAAAAACAAACCATAGCTATATATTTTAATATGAAGGGATTATCGTGAGGCTTGACAGAACGATAAAGTTGCTTAATTATGATTTGGAGGTCAATTATTCTACATAGATAACAATCTCTCCGCATACGAAGGTAAAGCTGTCTACATCATATCTTCGTTGATAATATGATCTCTCCTCCTCAGACTGAGTGTTGTAGAGCTAATATATGTGTTTGCTTAAACTTTTTGAGAGGAATAAAAAACTTACATCCTCATGTGAAATGAAATGATCTTAAGTACATGGGATGTCAATCACCGCTCTACACTTTTTATATACTATAAAAACAATTATCATTCACTTTTGTATATGTTTATTTTAATTTTTTGACATTGTTTTTTTTTTTGGATGATTCTCTATTTTTGAGTTTCAAAAGTCGAAAGTGGGTGGATAACAAGCCTCCATCAGGTGCCAAGAAAAGTACCAGTGGTGGACATGCCATCTGTTTTAGTGCTTGTGAAGATCATCAATTGGCTGCGGATACAAATGTAAGGATTATATCTTTTCGACTTTCTCTTTCTTTGTTTATTTATTTTTATTTCAAAATAAGTAAATTTTAAAATCAATAAATCAAAATACTAAAATTATAATACTTTATCCTCCAATCTAATTCCAAACCAAATGCCTACCTTGATTATTTTTCATCTCACTAATTTTTAATACTCTTGTAAAAATGTACATATATTTTTTTTGCTTTTTGTTTTTTTATTTGGGTGAAAGTTACTTTTCAAATACACAGTTCAAGAACTCATATACAAATAAAATAAAAAATAAAAACACATACAGAGAAGGTGATATGAATAAGTATATATAAAGGCATGTAGACGCATAGGGATGTGACCCTACCCAATTATATGAACTTATATACCGACCTATATAATTGTATGTATATACATTTATACATTCTGTATATTCTCATCCTTATGTCTATATATCTACAAGTATGCTAATAGGTAATTTACAATTACTAGCCATTGCACATTTTAAAAGGTAATTTACAACGCACATAGCACACACCTTGTTGAATCACACATTGTAAATGCTACACCACTTTTTACAATGTGCGTTACACATTCAGGCTTTCTCTGGAAAGGAAATGGCTGGTGCCATGACTTTCAATTTTGTCAAAGCAATCAAGAGCCATCCCCAAATATCATATGGTGAGCTGCTCAATTATATGCATGAGGAAATCGAAGCAGCTCTCAGGAAAGCAGGATGTCTCAATAATAAGATCCTAAACAAAATGTTTCGCCGCAGGATGATACAGGTACGCTTTTTTCCTTGATCGCTAATATCAAATGAGGTACTACATGAAATGGAACAGGATTGATCCAAAATTTTATTTTATAGAATGTAACTTAACAAAAATATTTCAAAATGTTAAAGTGTATAGTCTTCAATCTTTAGAGTACAGTAAATGACAATCTATTATGTTGTGTTTAAGAGCATTGAATCAGTGCTTTAAAATTGAATTTGAAAGAAATTTAGTTCAAAATTTAAACTTAATTTTTTCCACTTCCTATTTCAAAGAGTCAAGACATACATACATGCATATAATATATATATATATATATTTCATACTATATTGGTATTCCAGAGAGTATCATGGTTAAATGATGTGATTTATTACATGGGATCATGCAGGAGCCTCAGTTGTCATCTTCAAAGGAATTCAATGTTGAGACAACAATATTCAAGTTGTAAAGATACGTACGTATGAGAATGGTCGCTTTAAATTATAGTGGAACGTATTTGCTCAAAATAAGTCTATTCCATTCAAGTTTTGCGCCAAGAATAAAAATAACATGTTCAATTAAGATTCAGTTTGATTCTAATGAAAGAACAATTTCAGTTCCTAAATTTTCGCGTGTGGGTACTGTAATAATGTAATCTCCAAAAAATGAATAATTTTAGGATATAATAATTATTATTATTGTTAATTGGAACTCATTAACGTTTCGTGGTGGTTTCAGGACGTTCGTTGACCAGCATATGACAATAATAACAAACTATTATCTAATGTTGTGATCCATGGTATAGAATTAATATTTTGAAATTAAAGAAAAATTAGTTCAAACTTTTAGCAGCTAATTTAGCATTTAGGTGATGACACCTCTAATTTTTGTTTTGTAAAAACAATGAGCTGTGCCTATTTTCTAGTGATTTTTATTATTATTATTATTATTTTTTTAAAAGGTTAAATTGTATTAAAAAAAAAAAAAATTCTCTTTTAAAGGGCCCATACCACCAAAAGTAACAAGTATAGATATAATAGGCCTTAAGCAAACATGAGCCTATAGGCTAAAAACAACTCCAAATTTGTGAGTTTTGCAGTGGAATAGGATGTGAAAGTTTGTATTAAAAATTACTTAGAGATATGGTGAATATATTTTACTTGCTCCTTTAACCAATTTTAACTTATTTTAATTTTATCGAAATAAAACTAAAATTAAACCCACAAATCAAAAATAAAGTGCAAGTAAAGTAAATAGAGTTTGAGAGAAAACGCTAGGATTTTTAGCAAGGAAACCTTAATTGGCAGAATAGACCAATTGTTGTGAGAAAAACCTCATGGATTGTGCAGTCCAGAACAAAACAATCCACTATGTTTGAAAAAAAATACATTGAACTTTAACTCAGGCTCACACCGTATCGTTCTACCAAAAATCAATCGCTGACAATTCTTGTGTAACGACCCGAACCCATAGGTCCGAACAGTTAACCGGGTCCTTAACCGAACTCGAGGTCAACTGAGGACAACACTGTTATTTCCTACATCGATACGAAAATGTATTTATTTATTTATTTTTCCTCAGTGCTTGAGTGCCCAAACATTTTGATGTCAAATGGACAACATATGAAACCTTTAATATGATCAAAACACTGTCCCAAGCCTGGGTTTGATATCATCCATTATAATTAAAATTTTATGCATTTAATTAAATTATACGTGAGCTTAATTTGTCAATGAAAATCACGACAATTGCAAATATATAACAAGATGGCCTTAAGGCCTTACATGAAAATCAAATTATATGCAAAAGCCTCATCAAAACTCGGTCTTTAACAAGTTTCATTATTTACATCAATCTAACAATTTTCAAATTATGCTAAGGCCTGTTTAATAAAATATATATATATATGTCTACGATATTAGCATGATTGAAGTTGTAGATCTCCCACCACCTCCTTTCCAGTCCTGAAAAAAAAAATATATTAATAAGGGGGGTGAGCACAACGGCTCAGCAGAGATTGCCTAAGTGGCATGTCCTCAAACGAAGTAAATAATCCAATGCTTTACACACAATAAATAGGAAAAATGAGTCGGGTAATGCGAGGGATTTCACATATGGCACTTAAATTTACAATCAATCATCATCACTATCTCATATATACAATGCATAGATTTTAATGCAAACCACATCACACCATACCCTCTCTTGTTCACACCTCTCCTCCAAACCATCATGTACCCACATTTCCCTTTCCCGTTACCACACATCTACACATCTCATCTACACCCTCATCTCTCTCATGCCCATCAATGCCCTCATGCCATGCATATGGAACATTTCAAATTTTCAATCATTTAATCATCAACCTTCATTCATTACACAATAAACAATTTCATGATCATAATAAATTAATTTAACAACTTAGCATGCTTTAACATACACCACATCAACCATACTAGGAGTAACACATACAATTCACCACTTCGTCATCTTTTAGCATGTTATTAGAAATTCATATACAAAATAAGCATTTAATTCCATCAAACCCATCAATTTTACCAAAACTCAAACATGAACCAAACCCTAGAATTTTCATTCTTCAATTAACATCAAATTAACATGCCAGAAGAGGGGAAAAATATCAAATTAACTACTAAATCCAAGGAAAATCGTCAATTAGACAACTCTACCTCTTTGAAGAGAAACCCCCAAATTCGAGATCCCTAGCTTCTTGCAATAATGGTCTCACATAAAAGCTCTCCTCAAGCTCATCACTTCTTCACCTATGGCTTCATCAAAATCTTTCCTTAATCTCTCCAAAAACAAGCTCAAAGTGTGGAAGATATTTAGTGCAAATAGATAAATATAGAGTGAGAAAGTGAAATGCTAGAGAGGGGAAGCATTCTGCCGAAAATGAAGGGGAAAGGAAAGAAAATGGGTTGGTCAATAATTTGCCTTGTGGCCAATAGCATGCCCCTTGTAAAAATGTGTGTATTTGTCACTTTTTAGTTAGTTACTCTTTTGCCCTTCTACATCTATTTCAATACCAACAAAGTCCCCAAAATATCTCCCACCAAAAATAGATAGACCTATATATATATACATGTGAAATGACTATAATACCCCTCACTTAAAATCAGAAAATTAGGAAAAGTTCCTGAGTCCGGAAATCATCCCGACTTCCGAAAAATTCTAAAAAAAATGATACCGTCATTCTAACTGACTTAAAATGATTAAAAATACACTTCTAAAACCCTCGGTTCAAGAAAATGACCAAAATGCCCTTCAAGGCTTGCGTGGCACGCAAAACGAGGAAATAATTAAAATAATTCAGAAAATCAATTAAATTCCAGAAATTAAAAAATAGGAAAAATCGGTAACATTACACCTTGGCTTTGCGACTCCCCCGTCCAACAGCTCTCAACCCCAAGCTTACTCTTGATCTCTGTAGAAGGATTGCTGGTAGATCAAACAACACTCCATGAATGCTTTGACCCTTTTAAAGTTTGATAGTTTCACCCATTTTCTTTAAGATCTAAATTTGATATAGAAGAAATAGATCTGCTTTTTCAGAATCTCTAAATCTTCAATTATGCTCTAATTCCGATGAGATAGACAACAACACAACTAAATCACTTGTGTATATATGTGTGTGCTTTCAAAAATAAAATCAGAAAAATCAGATTTGATTAATTTTCTGATAAATATCTCCCAAAAATGCTTTCTCAAAATAATGAATTTTCTTTCCTCAAAGCCATACAAACCTAGATGAGAAAACATGTTTATATAGACTTTCAAAAACCTATATATGCCTGGAAAATAAGGTAAATTCGTGCATAAAATTTTGGAAAGAAGTCTAGACTAAAAAGGAATCAAAATAGATCAGGAAACTAAAGTTACCAAAACACATCAAAAGCCTTGAACCGATTCAAGATGTCCAGTGAAGAATCCTTTTTTATTCTTGAACCGATTCAGAAATTAGCTATCGGTTCAAGATGGCTAGTGAAGAATTTTCACAAAGTTGAACATGTTCCTTGATTCTTCTACCAGTTCAAGTTGAACCTGTTCGAATATTCTCCTACGAGTTCGAGTTGAACCTATTTGAATAATCTTCTACCAGTTCAAGATGGGCAGAATGTAAACTTTTTAAAAACATCAAACTTCCAAAACTTCCTAAGTGTTCTCATACACTCATATACCAGACTGCTTATAAATACCCCCCCTTGGGATCATTTGCAAATTAAAACACACCAAAATTCAGAATACTTCTCTTTTACTTCTGAATTTCTCTTCCCTTCCTTCTCATTTCTTTGCATAAACATTGTATTAGAGTATGAGTTAGAGTCTAGTTCAGAGAGAGAGTACTACACCAAATCGGTTCGCCCATTTCTTAGATTTGCAGTGCTGCTATCGAAGAAAGAAAAATCGTTGTATCCTGGGAGATAGACGTCGCTTAGTCTGTCAACACCATAATGAGGTAAATCTATCTTAAGGAGATAGAATTTTAGACTCGACCGATTAATAGGTTATTTTTAATAGTTTTATTTTATTATATATATATAACTATATTTTATTGGAAAATTATATATATATATATATATATATAATAATAATAATAATTATTATTATTATTATTATTATTATTATATATATCTATTATATTTTTACATAATATTTAAATAGTAATACTATAGTATATGGTACACTTAGACCATTTTATAAAACACAAATTGGAGACAAAAATTAAAGAAAAGTAGAATCTTGGTGTGGAAGCTTACCTTGGCAAGCTTTGTGTATCATGTTTGGATTGAGAGAAACAACCGAATCATTAGGAACAAATGCAATCATCCGAGCAAGACATGGAATGACATTATGAATAGTGTGAGATTAAGATTGTTTTAGTGAAGAAATGCAAATGCCCGTATGCATAGCCTGTGAATGGAACCTTCCACCATCTTTCTATGATCAGGGGTGGCTGGAACAATAGGCGAGTCAGGTGGTTACCTAAGCCCCAGCCAATAAGAAGGTTTTATAATTTTTCATTTCTTTATATATTATAACTTTCTTAAAATAATTATGTTAATTATTAAACACCAACAAATAGAGTGATTTGACAGTGACCTACAAGATTTCTATTGTTTATCACCTTCTTCTTTCTTTTTTCAGTGTTGAGATTCTAGGAGATTAGGAGTTTAGAATCGTTTGTGATTCTTTCCATTCTTAAATTGATTGTCTTGTTATATATTAGCTGTGAAATCATGCCTAATTATGGGTTGTAAATGTGTGATTGATTATATAGCCAAATTGTAGTAAATCGTCCTCTATATATAGATTGTACATCTACAGCCATAAATATGAATGAAAAATATACCATTCTCCATTCCCTATTTTTCAAGTTGGTATCAGAGCGGGTTAATCCTTGTAATTTTTTCATTCATAATATCATTCATCGTCCAGAAATTCAAATAGCTAGAAATTCATCACCAAATAGCCAGAAATTCGTCATTAAAAACCCATAAATTTGTCATCAAATTCTTACCCAGACTACCCAAATTGCCTAAATACTCAAATACCCTATTTCTTACCTGCCAGAATATCATCATCATGGTAAACTACCACACCAAAGTACTGCCACGTTCAGACGGAGAAGATCCGTCACCAAACCGTTGGTTTTTTCCCAGATTCGCTCTGATCGACGAGAGAAGGTAAAC